TTCCTTATATTATTAAAACATGCATTATATATATATTATTTCGACAATAAATTTTATTAATGTATTTACTGTTATGTAATACGCACAAATTTTTTAACTTTTTTTAGTTATCATTTTTATAAAAAATATGTTGTTCAGTAAAGTTCTATTTAATCTAACATTACATATTAATATTATATATTATAATAATATAAACTCAAAATACCTAAAACGAAATTTTAAAGAAAACAATCCATGTAAATATTTGTAACTGACAAGAAGTCATAAAAACTTTTGTACATCTTTTGTATTCTGTATATCAGTCAGACTAGAGATTATATCTTTTTGTTTCTAAATTTCGTAAGATGTTCTGAAAATTAAATTATACAAATATATAAATATATGAATTATATATGAATTTTAAATAAAATATTTAAAATATAATCTATGATTAACAAAAATTAATATAAAATAATTACGTGTTTCTTGCATTTCCAAAGAAACAGAATTTTCCTTTGGAATAAATTTGTAAGAATTTGTAAGAGTTTTACATTTTTTAACAAGAGCAGTCCTAGGCAGAGTTGATCTATTTCTTTCTTCATAATTTTCGTTTTCTGTAATAAAATATGTTCATTTAAATATTGCATTTAAAAAGAATAAAATATTAATTCATTTAAAAAGAAAAAAATTATCATTACCAGAAAATTCTACGTTCCTAATGGATCTCTTCTTGCTGCTATTATTTTCATCTATATCCATTTTTTCACAATTATTAACATTGATTTTAAAAGAATTTTTTCTTGTTTTCTCCTCTAAAGGAGATTCATTTTCTTTATATTCTATTTTTTGAGCATACACTTTTTTGTCAGATTTTCTTTTATTTATAGGTGTGCCCATTGAAATAATAGTTCTATTTCTCAAAACTTTTATACTTTCATCACAACTGCTAATTTCGTTTTTATTACTTATAGGAACATGTTTTTGTAATAATGTATTTAAATTTAAAATATTTTTATCTTTTCTAATTGGCGTGGAAGTATTTATATTTAAAGACATACTTTGATGTAATGTCATATCATTTTCATCTTGAGAATTTTGTTTTTTCATGCGTCTTCTTTGTGGTATATTGAAATTTTTATTTGATTCTAGTAATGGTATTGCTGCTTGTGCTTGCACAGATGTTATTTTATTATCTTGTGAACCTTGTTTGACATCTTCATATTCATTAGGACTACTGTCATCAAACAATTTTCTTTTTGTGCCAATTTTTACTTCGTCAAAACTATCATGATCAAAATTATCTATTCTCAACAATGCTGCAGCTAAATTTAATCTTATCTGTGTTTCTTCATCAGTTGGTATTTCATTTAAAGCTATATGATCATCAAAATTAACCTTATTTGTTGACCTTATACATTTTGTTTCAGTTGAATTCTTTGGTTGTTTTAATATACTTCTCCCTGGTGTTTGATTAGAATTAATATAAGATATTGAATCATCTAACTGAACTTCTGGCGTTTTAGATACTTTGTCATTAGTTATTATAGGGTAACTATTTTTTAATAAACATGATCTATGTTTTATAAGTTCGTTTTCACTACAGCCAATAAACATTGACTTTATTTTATGCTTTATATTAGGACTTATATTTCTTTGGTATTTATTATTTATTTTACTGGTTAGGTGTTGATTAGATTTAAGTTCCTTATTCCTCCTAATTCTTTCTGCCATTTTCTTTTTCCGTTTTGCTAAGATATTTCTAATTTTTTTTGTAAATGATCCATTGACGAGCACAGCCTCTTCTTTCCAGTCTTGTGAACGAAGAGTCTCCAGTTTTTCAAATTGCAAGTCACAATTTTTTATGTCCATATACATCATATCCCAGAATCCTTGCAAATCTTTACAAGTAACTAACATTTCTCCTTTTCCTACTTCACAATCAGTGACCAATCTACGAAACCTTCCAAATTTTTTATTTATTAGCAAATTTGTTTGTTCAATCGTTTCACTTATTTCATATTGACCAACTTCAGTAGTTTCTGGCTCTGTCTGAATCTTCGTCCATTTCTTACATAATTCAACAAATCTATCTGTTTCTCTATTCAAAAGAAAGTGAAAATATTGTGCTGTACGTTCCTCTTCTTCGACTGAAATATTTAAAATTTTCATAACAGTGTCCTTCGTAGGAATATCCTCATCGTTTGAAGAACGACCAAAACTTAAACTACGTTTTAATTGTTGTTCCTTTCGAGCATTAGACTTTCCACGACTAGAAACTACATAAGGTGAAAATAGAATTGGTATAGACGGAGAATTCGACTGTGCTGATATAGAAGATTCGTTTTTACTCGAAGAAAAACTTGCTTTTCTCACACTAGTATTATGTACTCCATTGTTATTAGCCATTATTTTGTATTAATGTTATTTCTAAAGAATTTTTGAAATCTTGTTCACACGTCTGTAATGAAATAAGCAGTTAAAACGGTGATTTCGAGTGGTATCAATGATAGAAAATTTTGTTAAATATAACATATAATTATATTGAAATACGTACTGCTAAATTATAGATGATAAATTCAGTAGATTAAAATTTATTACGTGCCGTTTATAACAACTTTTACTTCCAGCTCAACTGTTCCGTTGAGAAGTACATTTCTAGTGAAAGAAAGACAGTTTCTTTCTGTCATAAAGAAAAACTCAGAAATGACTAGCGGCCTCTATTCTCGTGAGTGGAAAGGCGGTTGTTCAGAAAAAAGGCGCTCTTTTATATTGTATCGCCGTGCCATTTTCCTAAATCCAATCCAAGTTATAATGTTGTGAGTAACAAAATTTTTATATGTATATATGCATATATTTATTATTATAAGAGCCATTTATTTTGAAAGTGACATAAGTCATTTTTAAATTGAGATATTTAAGGTTATGTTTTAACGTGCCTAGAAAAATTGATGCTAGCAGTGCTGAGATTTGCTTGCATTTGTTATCTTGGATACTTATATTTTTCTCAGCATAAATAATTTCGCACAGATGTTTCTTCAAAATAAACGCATAAATTCACACACACACACATATATTTATATATACAATATATTATATTTATTATATATACAATATATATATTTTTATTTAACTGTAGTCATTTATGAGTTTATTATTTAACCTTTGCACTCCGAGCAATTTTTTTAATATGACCTCTTAGCATGTCAATTCCAAGTCATTTTATGCTCACTATAAGCTACTAGCTGATCCAGGAATATTTACATGGTGCGAGTGCACTTCTGTGAAAGATTGAAGATTCTGCTTTGTCATTAAAAAAAAATGCATTTTAAAGTTATGTTTTATTAATACAATTACAATATAACAATACGAAAAATAAAAATTATGTTTCGAATTTCTTCATTTTATGGTATTTTGAAAAATAATCCCCAAGGTATATTCTTGGTTTATCAAGACATGTATTGCAGTATTCACTGGTTTCATGTCTTTCACCTATCTTTTGTCTGTTGGAGCAAACAACAGAATCTCTTTTTTTAGCTTTGCACATTTCATGAAATTTCCTATTTAACCTGATCTCAGAAGATGACATAGAAACTCTAGATCTTGTCGAAAATTATTAGTCAGTTCGACATATTTCAAGTATGTTAATAGTTTCTTGTTTTGTTTTTTTTTTACAATTTTATATATGATATATGAATTAATTTTATATATGATATATGAATTAATTACAAACACTTCCATGCTCCCAAAAAACATTTTTCTCCACCACTTAAGAGACTGTCAAAAAAGAATAAGTATATGCGTACTAATCAGCTCGCTTAACGCCGCTCATGGTTATGTAGCTAGCAATTGCATTAAGCTTTTTAATGTTTACTTCTTTACCTCCTCATAGAATTCTTTTTGAATCTGTTATTCCAACATTATTCCGAGTACTTAAAAGTGACACAATTTTCTTATCTTTCCAGGCTAAGAACATGATTTTTCCTTTTTTATAAGAAAAAGTTTTGTTATCTGAAAACTTGGTTTTTTTTCATAAATGTTGGAATATCTTTCTTGTTAGCTTTTGTAGTACCAGTCAAGTGGCATTTCATTTTCATTAGTTCTTCTCTCAAAGGTATATTGGTATATCTATCAGTAAACATATAATAACCCTGTACCTCAGGAATTTTATTTAACAACTTTTGATATAAATGTAGCAGAATTCTAGTACTAACTGGTAAATCTGGACGAATAAAATTTTTTGATGTAATACTTCCGAAATAAAGTAGGATAGTATAGATATATCTTGTTTCAGAATCCGTCATTGCATAGATTCTTATATCCCACTTTGTTGACTTCATAGGGTTATAAGTAATGAAAGAAATTTTCCCTTTAAATTTTACTATGGATTCGTTTATACAAATATTTTGACCAGGAATAAAGTGTTCAGAAAATTTTGAATCTAGATATTTTAAAAAAATACTGGCTCTTTGTATACATGTTTTGAGATTTTTGCTGTCTGAGTCAGGTATTTTTGAATGAGGCATCTAAAATATTTGATTGAATCTAGCTCTTGTAAATATATCTGAAAAAAAGCATATTGCATATTAGAAACAGGCATTGTACCCATATTTAGGATGAGTCCAATGAAAGCCCAGAATTCATCTTTATTTATTATGCCATGTTTGCCATACATAGTCTTTAGTTAAATTCTTTGATAACAACATAAATTGCATAATTATTTGTTTCCTTTATTATTTCATCAACAAGTTTGTCCGTGAAAAATAAATTTGAAAAACTGAGTCGGTTCAAAAATATTAAAGGAAATTTGTGGACCTATCACATTTGATTTGATATGCCACAGCGGCGACAACGGAATGCAAAGGGTTAACAGAAAATAAATGTGAATATATAGACATTATATATTATTTATCATATTTATCATATTATTATTTACTCACGAAATATAATTTATCTAAAAGTCTCAAGAAAAATCAATCCTTCAATTAAAATCAATCAGAACTCGTACACGTTTGTAGGTAGGATGATTGATAAATGATAAAGTCACCGTACTACAAAGGAAATTCCATACTTTATTTTAACTTTATTTTATATGATACAGAATTTAATGGATGAATTACGACTGACGACTGTTTATTTATTTCTTAACAACTGTTATATATCTTTTTGGAAATATGTTTGTAACTTGGTAACCAATAATTTGTTGTATCTCCATAGTAACATGTTTCTAGTAAATTAACGGCGCCAACTGTATGAAGACAAGAGATCGTGAAAAATGATCAGTTTTTTAAAAGTTACCAAAGAGTTTCATAATATGTCAAGGACATATTGCCAAGGATATATATATATATATAT